AAGGATTTCAGAGTTTTTTTATATAATTTAAATGTGCGGATAAGGATGATCATATGGTAAAACTTGTTCTTTTTCTTTTTTCTCACTGTGATGTTACAGAAATGAAGAAATTCCTTATCAGGCATGGAGTGTGCTTTTTGGCTCATCTGCCCCAGGAGTAACGTGTTCGTATTCCTGTGATGTTCATGTGTGTTTTGAGACTTTTTTTTTAAATTAAAATTTTAAATTAAAAAAAAAAAATCAATGCTGTTCTTCCAAGTCTAATCCAATGTCATCCCTTTCTTTTGGTAATAACACTGGGGCTGTTTGTGCATGGGGCCGCGTGGGTGCTGGACCGCTGGCAGCATCTGCCTGGCCCCAGGCACAGCCAAGGACCCCGGGGTTGTTGAGTTGTATTTGTTTCCCGACTGCAGGGTCAAAGCATAAATTCTTAAAAGTTCAGCTTTGGCTCCTTCTACCTAAGATAAATCCTGGAAGCAGTTTCTTCCCCCTCCGTCTAGCGTGCGTGCCGCAGGAGTGGCACTGCTGGGACCTTGCCCACGGAGGGAAGGTATTTCAGAGATGGTAACTCTTCTTTTTAAAGAACAGCTGCAGAAACCCCTGCCCAGCTCTGGGGGCTGTTTTGCTCTGTGCAGCCCTGGCAGAGCAAGGACGAGGGGCTGAGAAGGAAGCAAGCTGGTGTGCGTGGGCCGGGAAACCCAAATTCCTTTACAGATGGCAATGCCGTGCAGCGTTGCGCGTGCAACGCGCATCAAATATTTGCTCTCATTTGCTTGAGATTGAGTGACCAAGCCCAAGTGCAGACCTGCAGCGAGGCTTGGGGTCGTGGGCTGTGCCCGGCTGTGGGATGGATAACTGACCCCCCCCAGCTTCCCGGGGGATGAGCAGCGTGCAGAGAGCCCACATGGACCAGTGCACCGCTGCCGTTCTGCTGAGTCTGCTTGGAGAATTTTTTTTAGGAAGATTTTCTGTGTATCCCTGCTGTCTGTACAGAGATGGAGTTTCTCTGGAAGTTTCTATGGGAGAAAGCCCAGTAATGAGTCTGCTGGGCGTGTAGCCCCAGAAGTCCCTGGAACCTCATGTAGTTGATGTTCTTCCGAGCCCCGCTCCTGCCTTCCCTGGCTCATGGAGGCTCTGTCGGGGTCCGGGTGCTGCGAGCAGCGCCGGCACGCTGCTGGAAGATGGGAAAGGTGACAATGTATGATGTTCTCAAGTTTCCAGTAAAAGTACAACTGAAAAAGTGAATCACAGCTTCCCCTTCGGAGCTCCTTGAGGACTAGTAGAGAGGAAAACCGGCAGCTTTCCAGAACCTCCATCCACAGCAATGGTTTCAGCCGAGAGGAATGAAGGAGGAGAAATCCTGCAGCTTCCCCTCCGCGTAACCTGGATGAGCCGGGTCCATCAGGGTGCTCAGCAGAGCTCAGCTCCTGTGCCTGTTCACCAGCCTGCGCAAAGCCTTGCCCACCTCGCAGGCAGGAGAAAGCCTCACATCAGGCTGCGGGGACAGATCCAGCACCTTGCGGGTGGCACGGAGAGGTTCGCAGTCCTGGGGGAACTGGAAGCATCAGCTGTAGCTGCCTCTGGACTGAGTTCAGCTCCCAAAAGGCTAATGGCCATATCGGTGACGCAGGGTGGCTGTGACGGTAGTGATGTGCCATCGTGGGAGGTGAATAGCGTTCACGAGATGGGCAGGAACCTGGAGTCCCCCCCAGAGGGGACGGTGCAGACTGGGCTGGGATACAGGGACGCGGCTGTTCGGGAGGCTGGCGTAGCTGTCGCCCACTCACACCTGTGCCGTCGCACAAGAGCAGACGGCAGCGTCCTGGGTTGGGTCTGGCACCTTCCCAAGTGCTAAATGTTTGTTTATAAGGGGATGGAGAAATTAGAAATTCAGTAAGACCCAGGAATTCTTGCAACTTAAAAGCAGCTCTACAAATGTAGAGAGCAAGGCTTGCAGATCATTACCAGGTGAAAAAACATTTTGGTAAAATATGTGAGCATATGCAAGTAATTTTTTGAGAATGACGTTGAGTCTTTTAGAGAACAAATGGTGGGATAAAAAGTGTCTGCAACTTTATTTTTTTTAGTTATGTCTTGTTAATGGGTCTGTTTCCCACGAAGCCCTGTGTTGAAGGCCTAGCACTAACCTAGGTCAAGTTATTTTTC